CCTCGCCCTGCGCCCATTTCCTCTCTGCCCCCTCCTCCCTGCCCCTTGGCCCTTGGTCCTCCGTCCCTGCTGCCTCCTTCATCCCTCCCCAGACCCCCGACCACATATTTGATTCCAACTCTTCCCTTGAGTTGGGTCCTGGTTTTGAGCTCGCAGCGCCACGCGTCTCACTCCTCTCCTCGCCTCTCCTGTCGTGTACTCTTCTCTCATATCTTTTCTTCTCTCCTCTCCTCTCCTCTGCTCTCCTTTCCTCTCCTCTCCTCCCCTCCCCTCCCCTCTCCTTCCTGTACTCCCTCCTGCGCGTTCGTCGCCATCTTTCCCATGCTGGTTGAGTCGTGAGAGGGCGCGCGTAAATGACGAGCGTTAAGTGTGGTCTGACATTTCTGGCGAAGCATTCAGGTGCAATGGAGTTCCCTTGAAGTATTATTGCGTATCGAGTGGTCCTGTTCAACCACGCCTCTTTTTGAGAAAAGGTTGGCTTCTTCGCAGGGTTCATTTCACAGCGTCGGCTCCCAGATATCTGGACCTCTTCCAGGGGACGGGCTGGTCCTCCCGAGTTGCTTTTTTGGCCAGGGGCCTAGTGAAGGACGATTCCACAGGCAGAGAAGTGGCGAAAAAAAAAAAGCGCCGAAAAAGGAAAAGCCCCCGTCGTGAATTCTAAGTTCACGCACGCGAGGGAGTCGGGGTTCGCCCTGCCTCCTCCTCCACTCTCTCCTTTCCCCCCTCCCCCTCACCTCCCCCTCCCCTTCCCCCTTACCCCCTCCCTCCTCCCCCCACCCCCTCCCCTCCCCTTCCCCTCCCCTCCCTCCCCTCTCCCCCCCACCCCCCCTCCCTTCCTCTATCCTCTCCTCCCCTCCCATTCCCTCCCCTCCCCTCCCCCTCCCCCCTCCCCCCCTCCTCTCCTCCTCTCCTCCTCTCCTCCTCTCCTCCTTTCCGGGCGGCGCCGCCACTCCGCCCCCGAGGCCCCGGAACGCGCCAACGCGGGCGGCGTCGACGTGGACAGAGGTCCCCCCCAGATGCCGAGGTTGCTGCAGAGACCGAAGGACGCGGGGTGGTCTTGAGGGAAGGCGCACTGACCATGACCAATATGTCGCGCAGAGGAGGAAAAGGTACAAATAATGCTCCTCTTCCCTCGTTTTCGCCGTTTTGGGCCTCCCATCGTCGCCACGGCCTCCATCATACCTGTCGCGGATCCTGGCGCGCATGCTTTGCGCTCTCACGGGCTGCTTTACTTTTGCCGCGTCGCTGCCCTTCTTCCCGTCGATGAGTGCTGGGGACCTTGCAGCAATTGTGGCCAGTGTGCCTACATCGTTTCATCTCACACATATTCTGCCCACGGACGATACGGTCCTGGATATTCAAGTTCGCCCAACGCCGAAAGGAGGAGGAGGAGGAGGAGGAGGAGGAGGAGGAGGAGGAGGAGGAGGAGGGAGGGAAGGGGGGGAGGGAGGAGGGGAGAGGACGGGGAGGGGAGGGGAGGAGAGGGGACGATGAGGAGGAGGAGGAGGAAAAAATCGGGAGGAGCACGAGGAGCAGGAGGGAAGGAGGGGGACGACGAGGAGGGAGGAGGAGCAGGTAGCGGAGCAGGGAGGAAGACGAACAGGAGGAGAGGAGGTGGAGGAGGAGGAGGAGGAGGAGCATGGAGGAAGACGAAACAGGAGGGAGGGAGGAGGAGGAGGAGGAGGAGAGGAGGAAGAGGATGGTGGAGGAGGAGGAGGAGGAGGAGGAGGAAGGGGAGGAGGAGGAGGAGCATGGAGGGCGGAGAGGAGGAGGAGGAGGAGGAGTGGGGGGGGCAGAAGGAGGAGACCTCCGGCGAGCTGGAGGGGACTCGCACGAGCAGGGATTTTTTTTTTTTTTGGAGGTCCCCGAGCCACGGTGGCCGCCCCAAAGACTCTGCAGTTATTGCAGCAAAAAAAAGGACGAGGCCCGCCGCCATCGCGACGCCCCATGGGGGTGGGGTTGGGGGGGTTTGGGGTATAGCAGGCAGGGGCCGGCTCGCGCGGCGCTTCTTCCTCGGCTCGTTCTCCTCCTCCTCCTCCTCCTCCTTCTCCTCCTCCTCCTCCTCCCCCTCCTCCTCCTCGGCATCTTCCTCGGAACAATCGAGACGTAGGTTTTTCTTTTTTTTCGGCCTCTCGGGGCCCTCACCGGGCTTCGGGACCGTCGAACAAAAAGACTCGGGGTGAAGAGCTGGTCCCATGGGAATTGTGGAGAGGTTGGGGATTCGAGTGTCGACAAAATCGAGACGCCGAATGTTTGCTATCTGGTTGTCTCAGTTTTCGTATCATACGTGTATATATACGTATATAGGTACATGTGCATGTAGATGGTTATGTGCATGTGAATGTACACAGATAGGTGTATGTATATGGCTCTATATAAGTTTATGTTTATTCCTTCGCATACGTATTGTATACTTATATGTATAATGTATCTTTGCATATGTATAGTCATATGTCTATATATCAGTTTAGGTATGTGCATTTGTACATCAGTATATACATATCCATGTATAGTTATAGGTATATGTGTACTGTATATGTACATATATGTGGATATGTTTATGCATATGTATATATATATATATATCTATATCAGCATACGTATTTGTATGTTGTCATGTTTTTGTACTTGTACACGTGTACGCGTATGTAGGCGTACATGTATTTGTTTATGCATGTATATATTCATATGCATGTATCCGTGCATTTTTATGTGCACATGTATACATCAACGTACAACTATTTGTATACTCATATGTATGCGGCTACGTATGTATATATGTATGTGCTCGCAATATATGCTTGTATATATATGTGTGTATGCATGCCTGCATGTATGGTTGTATGTTTGTATGTATGCCTGCCTGTATGTAGGTGACTCCGTGTAGGTATGTCTGTCTCTCTGTATGTACGTATGTGTGTGTGTGTGTATGTGTGCATGTATGTATGCATGCATTCGTGCATGCAAGCATGTATGTGTGGATGCATGCATGCATGCATGCATGTGTGCCCGTATGTTTTTAAACATGTATGTATGTATGCATTCATATGAACATTTCCATGTGCATACATACATACATGTATATGTATATGCATGTGTATGTGTATATGTATATGTATATGTATATGTATGTACACATTCGTAGGTATATGTCTATGTTTATGCTATGTACATGTGTGTGCTTATGTATATGTATATGTATTTGTACTTGTATACATGTTCATGTATACACACATGTGTTGTTATATGTGTTTGTATGCTTGTTTTCATGTATGCATGTATACATACATGTATGTATATGGGTATTTACGTGTGTGTATGTATGTATGCATGCATGTGTGTATGCATGTATACATGTATGTACGTATGTATGTAATGTATGTATGTACGTACGTAACGTCTGCCTGTCTGTCTGTCTGTCGGTGTACGTGTGTGCAAGTATGTATGTACGTATGTGTGTGTATGTATGTATGTAGTTGCAGTTATACGTACATGTATGTGTGTATGTGTGTATGTGTGTATGTGTATGTGCATGTGTATGTGTATGTATATGTATCTGTATCAGTATATGTGTATGTCTATGTGTATGTATATTTGTATGTAGATGTAGATGTATATGTATATGTGGATTTGTATATGTATATGTATATGTATATGTATATGTTTATGTAGGCGTATATGTATATGTATATGTGTATAGGTATGTGTGTATTTATATGTATGTATATATACATGTATATGTATATGTGTATGTATATGTATTTACAAATGTATAGGTGTCTGCATATGTATATGTACATGTATTTGCATATGTATGCGTATATGTATATGTGTATGTATATGTATATGTACACGTATATGTCTACGTATATGTATGTCTATGTCTATGTATATGAATATGTTTATGAATATGTATACGTATATGCATATGTATATGTATATGGACGTGTATATGTATACGTATATTCATATGTATATGCATATGTCTATGTATGTGTATATGTATATGTGTATGTATGTGTAGGTGTATATGTATAGATATATGTATATGTTTCTGTATATATATATATATGTATATGTATATGTATATGTGTATGTATATGTAGAGGTATATGTATATGTGGAAGTGTACGTGCATGTGTATGTGTAGGTGTATGTGTATGTGTATGGGTATGCATAATGTATATGTATACGTATATGTATATGTTTATGTATATGTAAATGTATATAAATAGATGTATTTGTATATGTATATGTATATGTGTATGTATATGTATATGTATATGTATATGTATATATGTATGTACATGTATATGTATATGTATATGTATATGTATATGTATATGCATATGTATATGTATATGTACATGTACATGTTTATATATATGTACATGTATATGTTTATGTATATGTACATGTATAGGTACAGTTATAGGTAAAGGTATAGGTATAGGTATAGGTATAGGTATATGTATATGTATATGTACATTTATATGTATATGTATATGTATATGTATATGTTTTTGTTTATGTATATGTATTTGTGTATGTGTATTTATATGATATGTATTTGTTTTTGTATATGTTTTTGTATATGTATATGTATATGTATATGTATATGTATATGTATATGTATATGTATTGTGAAGGCCTGACGGCCGGTGCCGCCGACCCTGAAAGACATCGACGACGACCAGGTGTGGGAGGAGGAGGAGAAGGAGGATGAGGATGAGGAGGCTGAGATGATGATGATGATGATGATGATGATGATGATGATGATGATGATGATGATGATGATGATGATGATGAGGAGGAGGAGGAGGAGGAGGAGGAGGAGGAGGAGGAGGAGGAGAAGGAGAAGGAGAGGGAGGAGGACTCCACCCTGGGCCCCCCCCCTGGGGAGGAGGACCGGAGGACCGGCGTGGGAGAGAGGAGGGGAGGGGGAGGAGGACCCCCAGGGACGAATGCGAATCTGACTCCCCTCCCCCCCCGTGGGACTCCCCCCCACCTGGGGAGGAGGACCCGAGGAGGACCAGCGCGCTGGAGAAGGACCGGCGTGGGAGAGGAGGACCCCCAGAGGCGATGCGAATTTGATCCCCCCCCTCTCCCCGGGACCCCCCCCCTTCCTGGCTTCCCGCCGGGGAACAATGGGAAGGGGCGTCTTTTTGACGTAAAGAGGACGTGGATGGACTCCCCTCAAGCTGCGAACCCGTTCCCCGAACGAGGAAGGGTATTCTCTCTCTCCCCCCCCCGACGGGAGAGGAGGATGGGAAGGAGGGGACGAAAGAAGGCTCCCCGTCGACGGGACCGGACCAACACGCCACGCACGCCGACAGGGTCGGCGGATATCCAGATGTTTGTATGTATGTATGTATGCATGTATGCACGTATGTATGTATGCATGTATGTATGTACGTACGTACGCACGTCTGTCTGTCTGTCTGTCTGTCTGTCTGCCTGCCTGTATGTATGTATGCATGTATGTATGTGTACATATATATATATATGTATATGTATACTCCCAGGATAAGGCGGGGGCGCCCTGGACGCGGCCCTTGACAGCGCATGGGAGGCTTGGGCGGCCTGGACCGTGCCAAGAGGGGTCCAGACAGTGCACATGTCCAAGACGCCCACAGAGCGCTCCAAGAGGCCGCAGGTAGACGTCAAGAAGGGCCTGGAGGCTCCCTTGATGCCTCCAGAAGTTTCCCACACATTTTCAGCAACCGCGCGCTTGAGGTCTCCAGTGCGTGTACGACAGCGCCCGAGGCGCTCCAGGGAGGCCAAAGACGGCCCACGGACTCCCCAAGACGGCCCAAGACGAGTCCAGCTGGGGCCGTCCGAAGCGCCCAAGAGACGTTCAACGCCCCCACAGGGGGCTCCAAAAGGCCCCATGTGGACTTAGCTTTGGGCTCAGACTCCAGGCTGAGCACGAAGTGAATACATGTCTCACGCTGCTCGGCACAAGCACCGTTGAAAGCACCCTCTTGCACTCCCTCGAGATCGATCTTCATCTCCGCGAGAGAGAAGGCCGTGCTTACTCGTCGTGCAGAGTGGCCTTTTTGGACAGTGCAGACAGTAGGTGGAAGAGCACGAAGTCACACTCCAGCCGGCGGCTACGGACACGGGCTTGCCAACGCAAGCGGAAGGAGAATAATGGTGAAGAGTGATGGAGCGCTGATTTATCTCGGCGATTATGCCCATCGCGCGGAGGTTTGCGCGCGTCCCGCACTACGCCAGAATGGCACTCCGCGAAACGCCCGGCGCCCTTAAGCAACAGAACGCCACTCGCGATCTTGCAGTGCCCAGGGCGCACTGCGGCGCGCGTGCAGGTGAGAATGGCGCCATCGGGCGCCAGGTACTAAAGCAGCACTGCCACTCCCAAACTGGCACTCAGTGGCGCGAGTGGCGCCCAGCATAGCAAAACCATATGCAACTGCGCGATTGACGCCCAGCGGCCGTAGGATGGCAATTGGCTGAGTGAATTGCTTTGAACGCCATCGGTGTGGCACTCAGTGATGCGGGTTGCGCTCAGCGGTGCCAAAACAGCACGCAGCGGTGCGACTGCCAGCATTGTGCGAGACGCGCCAGGCCGCACGAAGATGGTTTGCTGTGGTGCGAGTGGCGCCCAGCAGCATCAGAAAGTCACCCGGCGGTGCGAATGGCGCGCGGCGGCTCTCGGGCGGCTCCCGGGATTGCTAATGTTGCGACTGGCGCTCAGCGGCGCCAAAAATTGCACTCAGCGGTGCGCGTGGCCAGAGTTGTGCAAAGCGGTGCGGGCGGTGCCCAGCGGCGCCAGAAAGGCAAACGGCGGCGCGAACGGCGCCCGCGACAATTTCGCAACCCCGCAGCGCAGAGATGCATCGTTGCTGGTACACGTCTCGCTCACCCGCGGATGGCAAACACTGCG